GGTCTCGCTCTTGCTCAGGCTGGTCTCGAACTCCTGAGCTCAAACAATCCGCCCGCCTCAGCCTCCCAGAGTGCTAGGATTACAGGCGTGAGCCATACAAGGAATTTTTAATGACATGGAACACACATTTTTAAAAGTTGGATACATGGCTATTAAAACATGAACTCAATTGTATTAAAAATGCCTAGCAAGCATGCTGGAAGCAAGTGATCCAAAATATTGACAGTGCTTGTCTCGGGAAGTGAGATTTCAGGTGATATTAATTATTTTAATTTTTTTTAAGAGACAGGTTCTTAGCTCTACCCAGGCTAGAGTACAGTGCCAGGATTCATAGCTCACCAATCTCGAACTCCTTGGCTCAAGCCATCTTCCTGCCTCAACCTCCCAAGCAGCTAGGACCATAGATGAGCACCTGGCTAATTTTTTTTGTAGAGATGGGGGTCTCGCTATGTTGTCCAGGCTGGTCTCAAACTCCTGGCCTTGAGTGATCCTCCTGCCCTGGCCTCCCAAACTGCTGGGATTACAGGCGTGAGCCATGGTTCCTGGCCTCTTAAGGTGATTTATAAAAACACCTGTCAAATTTTCCATGATGAGCTTGTGCTACTTTTATAATTAAACAATTCAAAAACCCAGTGGTCCATTTTTCAGATCAAAAATCCCACTGACAGGACTTGGGTTCCAAAAATCTGGCACTGGCGCTGATGAGCCTTCTCCACTCATTCTTTTGTTATCAATTAATGTGAGCCTCGCCCTTCAGTGTGTCTGAAGTGGCCCCCGAACCTCACCTTTCAGAGCCTCCTGAACGTACTTCTCCACGTAGTATTTTCGGAGCTGGTCATTTTCCAGAGCCTGGTCGTCGATGCCGTTGGCGGTGATGTACACGTCCACGTCGCCGTAGTTCTCCCGGACCCACCTGAGCAGCTTGCGCTCTCCCCAGGGTATCACGGCCAGGCGGCCGGGGGAGCTCAGGCGGGTGAAGTCCTGCAGAAACTGGATGTCCCGGTCCGAGTCGTAGCGGCCGCCGCTCTGCGGCTCGTGCATCACGAACCGGGTGGTGAAGTGGTTCAGGGCGCAGAAGTCGGCCGCGCCGCGGACCAGCCCGCGCTCGTGCTCCGAGAAGCGGGGTAGCGCGGAGCCGGAGCGCCCGCGCCCGCGTTTGGCGGCGAGGTACTCCCTCATGGCCGGCGGGTAGTCCCCGCTCTTGAAGAGCGGGTCCGCGAACCAGGCGATCTCGAACTGCAGGAAGCGCTCGGCCGCCCGCCGATGCGAGGCGGCGTAGGGGTTGGCGGGCTCCGCCCAGTCCGCGTGCAGCGCCAGCGACACGGCGCCGCGCTGCGCCGGCCGGTACTGCCGGTCGTACAGGCGCCAGGCCAGCGCGTGCGCCAGCAGCAGGTGGTGGGCCGCCCGGTAGGTGTCGTTGCCGCTGCGGTTGTAGACGTCGCTCAGCCGGTTGGGCTCGTTGATGGTGATCCAGAGCTTCACCACGTCGCCCAGCTCGCGGAAGCACAGCCCGGCGTAGGCCCGGAAAGCCCGGGCTGTCGCCGCGTTCAGCCACCCGCCGCCGTGCAGCAGCGGCGCGGGCAGGCCCAGGCGGGCGTGGGTCGGGTGGTAGAGCGTGATCATCGGGGACACGCCGAGCCTCAGCCCCTCGCTGACCACACAGCGGTAGTACCTCAGCGCTTGTCGGTTCACGGAGGACACGTTGCCGGTGGGAAGGACGGAGGCCCAGTCCAGAGCGAACCGGTAGTGGGTGACTTTCATTCTTGCCAGCATCTCAAGTTGTTTTTTGATGCTGACAAAATCTGTGCATTGAGCCGGTCGTGTTTTCAGCCTCACCCCTTCCACTCGGTGCAGCAGTCTGTTGCCGGTGGCGTTCCACACGTACAGGTGAGGGTCACTGAACTGTGGGGAGGAAGCCACGGCCTCGGGCTAGGAAGAACAAGCACATTAGCAAAGCGTGGGCTGGCAGACAGGGTCTACGCAGACGTGGTCTGAGAGGAAGAGGGGCCTGGGCTTACTCCGCCTCTCGCGGACACGAGAAAATCGGCGACGCATATGCCCTTCCTAAGGGCCTGTGTGTTCCAGCTGTTGTGCTGAAGCCACAGAAAAGGCCGGGTGGGATATCCTCCTTTCCAGCCCTTGAAATTTCCCAGGGAGACCAGAGAACATAGGGAAGAAAGCACACCCAGGGCTTGGCTTGGAAAACAAGTTGTTTAACGAAACACTGAGAAGCTGTTTTCAAGTTCATTTGACCTAAAAACCCAGTTACATGGTGGGGTTTCACATGGCGCCTGTTCAAATGCATTATGAAATTTGCTTGGTACCGTCAGTTAAAAGCAGTTATGAAAGATGTATGCTAAACCCTGCCATAAATTGAAGACAAAGTTGAAATTCCAACTGTAGAGGATTTCACTGAGATCAGCACTTGGGGTTGGAGGAGGCTGGCTGACCCCAGCCACAGTTCCTAAGAAAGGCCAGCGGGATGGGGCAGGCAGTGACCCTGCATTCACTGAACCCAACTCTCTAACTCCTCCAGCACATTTGCATCCGTGATGTCTCTCCCACCCATGTGCCTGTGACGACAAAGCATTTATTCATGCAGTGGAAGAATACTAGACACTCTCTCTGTGCAAGGCACTTGGGTTATGAGTGGAAAGGACCATAACATACTTCCAGGAACTCCCAAGGCTGACTCTTGAATCTGATAGTATCTCATTTCCTGCCTCTCCGCGGAGGAGAGAGCCTTGGACTCCTGTTCTAGTTGTGCCCCTTTGAAACGCAGGCTTGGCAACTCTATAGTGATGGAGCAATCGCACCTACCTCACAGGTGTGTCATGCGGACTCAGTGACTCTGGGAAAGTGCTCTGGCAACTTGAAAGCACTGTGCAAACATATGTGGCCATGGCTTGGATTGTTTTCCCCGGTTGCAGTAATTGCCTGCTAGGCCATTGAGCCTAAACTAACAGTCCTTTGGCTTAATAAAAACATTTCCAAATTCAAGATTACTAAGGGAAACTAAAAGCTCTGTACTTGTTTTAAAGGTCTTTTTCTTCTCATGACTGAATTTAAATGCACCAGGAAAAAAAATGATAATTAACCTTGGGTCAATATTTTCCCTCTAATTGTTTTCTCGTGTGTCATCTTTCATAGTCTAATTACAAAGCCATATCACTGCCCACTTACCATCTGCCAACCAGTTATCTAGAACATTAAACTGAGAGAACATTGATCATGTGAGCATGAAGTTAAATCTGTATATAATTATTTGAGTAAAATCCTTCTAGCCTAGATGGCCAGTGTCAGTGTTTTGAAAACTCAGAACACCATGATATTGAAAGGGTGTTTACAAAAGGCAATCTTGCCATTGGGCAAGGCAAGATCAAATAAAAATCTGTCTTACTTTTAAAAACCTCCAGAAAGCTACAGTTAGAAGAAAGAGAACCTGGTGTTTGACAGATCAGCAGAGTAACTACAGTTAACATTAATCTATTGTACATTTCAAAATAGTTAAAAGAGAATAATTCAAATGTTCCTAGCATAAAGAAAAGATAAATATTTAAGGTGATGGATATCGCTATTACTCTGACTTGACTATATGAATATATTAATTTATCACATGTACCCTGAAAATACATACATCTGCTATGTATCAATAAAAAATTATTTTTTAAAATCTCCAGAAAGCATTAGTTTTAGACAGCAAGTGTGTATGATTAATCTGCTAAGAGATTAATTAAAGATGATGTACACCAATCCCAACCCTAGCTCCCAGAGCTTGTTTCTAAAATCCTACTCTCAGCCGGGCGCAGTGGCTCACGCCTGTAATCCTACAAGCGTAGTGGTCAGGAGACAGACCTGGGTAACCTGGACAAGTTACATAACCTCCCCCAACCTCAGTTTCCTTGCTTGTAAAATGGGGATTTTAAGATTAAGCAGAGAAAATGCTTGGTACAAACCAAAGGCTTTAAAAATAGTTGTTATTATGACTTTGGGAGGCTTAAGGACTGCCCGTTAACAGTTCTGCCGGTACTTGTGTTACCTTGGGCAAGTTGATAGGTCTCACTTTCTTCCCCTGTAAAAATGAAGGATTTGGAAGGAGAACTCTCTAGGGTCTCACCTGGCTCTAAAAGGTGATCTCATTCGTTTACCTGAGCACCTGCCATGCAGCAGGCACCAAAGCCTCAAACACCTCTGCCCTCACGCATTCTAGCAGGGGGACAGAGGTGACGTATGAGAAGACCGTGGCAAGTGCTTAGTATGTTAGGTGGGGATGATGCTCCATAGAAAGATAAAGCGGGAGAGGGGAGGGGCGGTGATAGGGGTGCGTTGGGGGCGTCAGAGCGGCGAGGGCTTGCTGAGAGGTGATACTGGAGGAAACATCTGAGCAAGGTGAGGAATGAGGCGTGCAGAGGCTCTGCTGGGATACAGAGGCCTCACGAGGCGAATTATCCAACTCTATTAAATAAAAGAATGAAAGGGCTGCTAATGATTTGCTTTTGACAAGAAAAAAATCTAAAATTATTTTCCAGATAATTTTGACACTACTAACAAATGCCCCACCCAGAAAGGACCATGGGTTCCCCCTAGGCTGTGTGCGCCTCCTCCATCGCCAAGCGAGAGCTCCAGCCGCAGAGCGCTCTCAGCAAGCGTTCATCGCCCTTTTCTCCCTTCTCTTTCCCCAGCTCTCCTTCGTAACCTTGCAATAATTGTGGTATCCTATACCCTCCGATGGCTATCTTTTAGCTGTCATTAAGTAAACGAAATAAAATATTGTGTGCTCTTTGCCCCAGTTTATGGTTAATTTGGAAGTAGCCACGTACCTTAAGAACAGATTCAGTGATACCCCAGGAGAAGTCACAGGGAAACTGACCCTGCACATCCGGCGTGGACTCTTTTAGAGCAAAACCATTTTCTCGTATGATCTGTTTATAGTAATGCGCCGAAGACTTGGGTATCCTTTCTTTCTGTTTGCTATTAAAATCCACATAAAATAATCCTCGGCGGGTAGTGTAAGCATCTTGCCATTCAAAGCCATCCAGGAGAGACCAGGCAGTATAACCAAACACTTGGATTTCATCCAACCTTATTGCTGCACAGAGAAAAGAAAGCAGAGGTGTTCAGAGGCCTAAACCCTCTAGTTCATGTTTATAATTTCACTAACAATGTGCCCGGAGACAGCATATTGTGAAACCAACCTTTTTCCTAATTTGCAGGCCCGTTACATCAGATAGAAAACTAATGTTTATCCTTGAAAAGTAGCAGTTATTTTCACCCAGAATGGTACTCCCTGCCCTCGAAACAAGTGAATGACACAGTTAAAGGATCAAATTAAAAGTATTTCTGAGACTTAGTGTGCAAATCTGTGTCAGGGGGCACAGTGATTTCCAGAACCCTTTGGGACCAGTGCAGATGTCTGCTCGTGACCAAGAGTTTCTCATTTCCAGTTTGGGCTGGTGTCTGTCTGTGGACAAGCTGTCCACTCTATGAAACTATTCTTCTGGGACTAAAGAGATCGCGGTCAGAATTGGCATCAGTGAACGCAGATGAAAGGAGCAAAGTGATGAGCAAGAACGGGAGCCAGCGTGGCTGGGGCAGAGGGCCCAGGGCCTCGTCCTGCTGTGCTTCTGGGAGAGTGCTCCTGGGCAGGTTTCTTGGCCTCAGTTTCCTCATTTGTAAACAGAAAGGATTGGAAAAGACGATCTCCAAGGACCTTTCTAGCTTGAAAACTCTGATTCAGTAACTTCTAGGAATTGGGTAAAAATGAAATATGAAAATCAACAGCAGCAGTCAAAACAACAAATACCCAAATCAGCCCTGAATCATCTTTCTTTTCTCAAAAGCATTCATTCTCTCATAGATATGCCTCATCTCTGCATTTTTGGGTTCTAATTTTTTTTTTTTTGAGACAGAGTCTCACTCTCTTGCTCAGGCTAGAGTGCCATGGCGTCAGCCTAGCTCACAGCAACCTCAAACCCCTGGGCTCAAGTGATCCTCCTGCCTCAGCCTCCCGAGTAGCTGGGACTACAGGCGCATGCCACCGCGCGTGGCTAATTTTTCTATTTTTAGTAGAGACGGGGTCTCCCTTTTGCTAAGGCTGGTCTCGAACTCCTGAGCTCAAGCAATCTTCCCTTGGCCTCGGCCTCTCAAAAGTGCTAGGATTACAGGCATGAGCCGCCGTGCCCAGCCCATTTTTAGGGGTTTTATCACTGACATTCTTTTCCTAAAAGGTAGAAAAATCCATGCCAAAAATATTCCAAGAAGGCCCTATCTCCAGTCTCTTGGTGGTGTAGGATCCTGAGGACAATGTAATGGTAACGTCTGGAGAATTGGCAGCCCCTCTGCCCACATGCATGGCATTCAACCCCAGCCCCATAGGCACTGTCCTGCCCTGGCCCCCAGTGCATGTGGCCCATGGCTGGGCGTGGCTCCATTCCACGTTGCTCATGCAACTTGGGGCAGCAGGGTCCTGCTCTCCCTGAGGATAATCCCTGTAGACTCTGTTCTACAGATCCTGGGATTTTCCTCCAGCCTTGTGCCTTCTAAAGAGAGCTGCAGAGTTTTAGTAAGGTCCACAGAGAATTCCTTTTTATTTGAGTGAAATGGAGCCCGACTCTGTAGGGAACAGGACCTGAGCTTGTCTTCGGCTCCATCATTTCTATCAGCCACCTGTAGATGTCACTACTTGAGTAACGGAAAAGGAATGAGGGGTAAGGAGGGGCTAGACGAAATCTCCAGGAGCCATGGAAATGGCTCAGCTTTGTCTTCAGACCGTTTGATGGATCAGTCATGGCACAGAACGTAAGGACCACAATTTCAAGAACATTCAGCATCTTAGAATAAAATACTACTGTTAGGAAACTTTAAACATATCTCTTTTAACACTGAAAGAATGAAACATCTTCTTGCCAATTAAGGATGTAGTTCTTTAGTCTGAAATTCTTTTGTTCTCAAACTTATTTTTAAAAGGACATGGGAGGCCGGGCACGGTGGCTCATGCCTGTAATCCCAGCACTCTGGGAGGCCGAGGCGGGCGGATAGTTTGAGCACAGGAGTTTGAGACCAGCTTGAGCAAGAGCGAGACCCCATCTCTACTAAAAAAAAATAGAAATAAATTATTTGAACAACTAAATATATATAGAAAACATTAGCTGGGCATGGTGACGCATGCCTGTAGTCCCAGCTACTCGGGAGGCTGAGGCAGGAGGATTGCTTGAGCCCAGGAGCTTGAGGTTGCTGTGAGCTAGGCTGACGCCACGGCACTCTAGCCCGGGCAACAGAGCAAGACTCTGTCTCAAAAAAAAAAAAAAAAAAGGACATGGGAGTAACATAAAAAAAAAGATCTGTCAACATTGGACAATATGAAGGCCCAAAAATAATAATCATATATTCCAAAGTGACTTTAAATATCCTATAAGTATTCAAAATTGTTTTTAAAAATTTGACTTAATGTGCAACCAACCTTGAAGCACCTGGTTGAGGAAATTCTTCATCATGTAGACGGCTGTGGTGTCTTCCGTTTTCACGTGACTGTCCGTGAACCAGCCATTCTCAGCAATCAAGATCCGAGGGTTGTCATATTCCAGTTTAATCCAGTTCAGCACTTCTCTTAAATTGAGTGACACATTTTGCCCCATTTTAGCCATGGTGTTTAGGGGCTTGAAATTGTTAGGTCCAAAGGAGAAGGCAAAGAAGTCAGCTGTGCCTCTCACCTCTTTCTTCTCTGCTTCAGAGAAAAGGGGTAAGATGGAGAGCAATTTCGTCTTCATTTCCTCTGGATAGTCGCCCTCCCCATGGATAGGGTGGGCGAACCAGCCAAGCACAGAAACCATGGATTGTTGGCACTTGACTATATCCATCATGTTTTCTGATCTGTTTGGCTCAATCCAATGGGATCCCAACGTGATAGATAACCAACCCTTCTGATGTGGGCGGAAATTTATGTTGTAGTTATGCCAAACTTTTGAATGAGCCTAAAAAGAAGAAAATATTGTTGATCTTTATTGTCCGGGCTCACAGTGGTTGTATGTAGCTGGTAAAATCATGGACAAAATTAGTGCTGCGTAGGGTGGCACAGGGGGAAGCTGCCAGGGAGCCCTGATGGCTCCCAGCCTGCTCTCTGCACGGCCAAGGCTTCCAACCTAAAACTTATGCTACAGGAGGGCTGAGGGGCCCGCAGGGAACCCGAATCCAAGCTCTATCTTACTTCTCTGCTTGACTCCCCTCCCCAGTCCTCTTGGAGCAGGGTGCAGGTGAGCTACTATGTAGGTTATAAGGTTGCCTCCTCTGTATAAAAAGACACAGAGCAGTGATCATTCACTGTTCTACAGAATCTCCCTTGTTCCTAATGTAGAAGTCCAGGACAACGCAGCTCCAAATCCTCTCAATGTATAATAGCAGAGCCCACCTCCCAGGGTTTGTCATGAGGATTGAATGAATTAATGTGCGTAAACAGCTTCAGAACAGTGCCAGGAACAGAGTAAGCTCTATGTAAGTCTTCACTATGATTACTATTCTGATGAAATTGTGGCAGGCACTGCCCAAAGTGGAAAACCAAGGGAAGAATGTGGGTTTGGGGGTTAGCACACCTGGGCTTGAAGTTCAGGTGCTCACTCTGTAGCCTTAGGCAAGTTACTTAACCTTTCTCAACTCTCTTCCTATCCTCAGCTGCAGAATGAAGTTAATAACAATAACATCCTTTGTAAGGTTGTCGGATTTAGAGCTTATACATCTACGAAATATGTAGCACGGAACAGAGTACGTGGGAGGCGCTGCCAAAATGCGGATGCTACTCCCAGAGTTTGGTCTCCGGTGGAGCTCCCAGCAGGGCCCCGGCCTGTTTGCCGGCGCTGCCTGGGCACCCGCTCGCTGCGGCTGAAACACTGGCCCAGGAACGTGGCCTCCGGAGGGTCTTTATCGCGCAAACGAGGCTGAAATGGGGGAAAGAGAAACATACAAAGCTGCATAAAGGCATTAGATAAAAAATAGCTAAAAGCCAGAAGACATGGTCCGGCTAAGAGTCACGAGCCATAGCTGAGGGAGGAGCAAAGCGGCGAGGACCCGGCGAAGACCGTAGGCCGTGTGGACGCCGGCCGCTTGCCTGCCCGCCACGCACCCGCCTGCCTGTCGGGTCTCCATCCCTCCGCTCTCTAGGTGTTTATTGTTGTCCCACAGAGTCTACTTTCAGCTTTGTTCCTTGGCTTTTCTCTTGCTCACTGGAGACATTTCAACATCAGGATGAACTATCTGAAACTGCCTTTTTGTAGGTCAAAACTAATCAATTTGAGCAGTGGATTCAAACTTTATAGATCCTGTGGACACTGAAAATGTTCCATAAATCCTGTTAGGGTGGGGAAAGTAGGCGTTGATGTAAGGGGTGGGGATTCCAAAACTGGTGCCACCCTGCTTTTGGTTTTATTTTTTGGGTTTTTTTTTTTTTTTTTTTTGAGACAGAATCTTGCTCTGTTGCCCTGGCTAGAGTGCCATGATGTCATCGTAGCTCACAGCAACCTCAAACTCCTGGGCTCAAGTGATCCTCCTTCCTCGGCCTCCCTAGTAGCTGGGACTACAGGCGAATGCCACAACGCCCAGCTCATTTTTCTATTTTTTGTAGAGATGGGATCTCACTCTTGCTGGTCTCGAACTCCTGATCTCAAGCGATCCTCCCACCTCAGCCTCCCAGAATGCTAGGATTATAGACGGTAAGCCACTGTGCTGGCCAGAAAAGCTAATTTAAATCATTTGCTGAAAGATTTTCTGGAGGAATGGATGCCTTGAGGTATTACCTCTGTCTACCTGTTCTTACATCTGGTTGTCTTCAGAAGATTCTGGAACCATTTAGCACCCAAATGTTCCCAAGGATCCTTAAGAATGCTTTCCTCTCAGAGAAATGTTAAGGCTGTAGCCTCCTCCCTTGCCTCCAACCTGGGGTTGAGCTTCTGAAAGGAGTAACAGGGGAGCCTGCGGCAGACTCTGTCTTAAATGATTTCAGCAGCTCTTTCTGTGCTTTCCTGGGGCTAGAATCACAACAGAAAGTCTTGAGAATTGCTTCCCCCGCACCCTTATTTTTCCGATTCAAAGCTAAAGCAGTCTTGCATTCCTAGGATTTAAAGAGGACATTCATTCTTTGCTTTCTTCTAAACAGCCAGTCACCCCCTGGTCGCCGTAGTGCTTTCATCCACAGAGGACACACTCTGCAGGGCTGCTGTGCAGACCGGAAAGCACTGAGTATGTGTAACATTTTGAGCCATAAACTAGCTGCCTTGCACATTTAGCTTTTGCTTGTGCAGACATTGAACGTAGAGTAGACAGTATAAGTGTATTAACCCAGCCCTAATAGGAATTAACCAGTCCTAACAGGGAAAGACAAGTGGGGGGGGAGAGTTTCTTCAAAATAGATGTTCTATTGCATATTTCCGTAACTATAATATATGAAAGATGACCTAAGCTGTGATAAAATCTTGGTTGTATCAGCATTCGAATGAGAAACAGTAGAGTTTAGAAGACAACAGACATGTACCTCTGCACTACCTTTCCAAGCAAGTTTTCTGGACATACCTATGTGCGTATATTGTAAGGCCCCAAGGTGACCTTCGTGTTCCACGGTGTCTCTTTCACCTTTGCTGCTATTTGCATAGGCTATCAAGGTATCTAGGGTTATCTTTGCTCTGGGCTGAAGACAGCCGCTTCATTCTCCCGTAGAGAATGTGGGGGAGGCTCTCCATACCGCACTACGGTTATAACTTGATCCTGTTTGCCAAGGAACAAGGCAAAACGTTTTGCTTCGAGATAGTGAGTTTGACATAAATCTTGATGAAACCGGGATATCTGTCTATGTGTGTCCTCTGGTCTGACCTAAAGGAGATCCGTTGGGAAAACTGAAATGGAGTTCACGGAGGAGTGCGCCCTGGGCCCTGCAACCTTGCCCAACAGCCATTCTGCGATTTTCCAAGGTCATCCTCTATCTAGTACAAGGCCATCTACCTTTGGAATGATTGATTTAAGGGAGCTTCAACCTTTGTTCTTTAGATTCAGTAGCTTAAAGGGAAAGTCAGTCTGCTTTTTCTTTTTGAGCCCAGCTATCAAGGCCTAATGCCACTGAGAGACAGCCGGGGCTTAATATCTCATTCCGTTCCCTCCTCCAATCTAAAGTGGCAGCTCCCTTTGATGCCCCTGGAAGTCCAGACTCAGATAAATTCTGCGGATGACAGGAAGCAAATAAGATAGCAGGCACGACTTTAGAAACAGAGATGAAGAAGGGATTAGAGGTCAGGAAGACATGGCGGGACGCTGGTGGGAAGAATGGGCTGAGCACAGAACAAACCTAATACATCATACATACGTATTTACGGAACCCCAATCATTTTTCAAAAGCTAGATGTCCAAATTTGTGCATGATTTTAGTCTTCTTTGGCTGAAATATCTCCATGTGAACTGTAAATGTATGTTATTAAAGCTATTTAATAAAGTATTAAATAGAAACTGTTAAAGAAAATTTATTTAAAAAATCCACATGTGTAACAAAATGTTGTCATATTTCTGTGTTTCCTTCCAGGCTTCTCAAACATACTTCCCAGATAAAATCACTTTAAACATTTTCCACCTTGTTTTTAGTCTTCATAATTATGTTAACAGTATAACAATTTACCAATTTGATGAAACATGATTTACTTAGTCATCTCTCTCTTTTGATAGCAATTACCTTATTTTTCTTCATTCTTTCCTTCTTTCTCTTTTCCTGTCATAAATTATGTTGCAATAATTAACTTTGGCCATATAGCTTTGAATTTATTTGAATTATTTCTGTTCATTAATCCCAGGAATGAACTACCTATTTTTAAAATTGTTTTAAATATTCCCAAATTGCTTTCCACACACTTTGTCCATTGGTGTGAGTGTTCTCTGAACATCTGCTGCAAAACATGATGGCTCTATTTGGGGGATAAATGGCCTTCGAGAATGGTAGAGAGGTGCTCCTCACCTACATGGTACTATCGGGGAAATGGCCCCAGTCTTTGAAGCAGGAGACTGGGGCTCTAGTGCTAGCTCTACCACTAATTAGCTTTACAATCTTGGACAAATCATTTCCCTCGCAGAGGCCTTGGTTTTTCTTTTCATTATACTGAGCTAAAAATAGACACCCTAGAGTATTGTGAAGACCGAATGCGGTAACAACATACACAAAGACCTATGAAAACAATACAATGTAAACTTGAAGTAGCACTTCGAAAGAGCAAACTGAAAATAACTGAACTTGCTGTGGAAAATCATGGTGGAAGTCTGTGTGGGCAGGAAGAGTGTTCTGCACATAGGTCCTAAGCCCTTACCTCTCCAATTTCATAGCTATAAATGAAAAAAATATAATTAAATGTTTTTCCCCATTTATTGTTTGCAGCTGATTGAGTTTTTCTCTTTGTCCTTTTGGACTGGGATTAATTTCAGTTCGATTCATTTTTCATCTACTCAGCACTTTATATTAAGTTTTGTGCTAACTACAAATACTGCTCTTCCAGATTGTTTATTAAATTCATTAATTTATCCTGCATTCTACAAATATTTATTGGGTGCTTAAGACATGTGACCTTTGCTGTTTATTGCTAAAAAATTATGTGACTATTATTCCTTAAAATATATTATGTGACAGTCATTCTTTAAAATTTTTGACAATCTTGAAACTCTTTGGAAACAATATTTTGCCTTTATTATTCTTTGGAAAGAATTTAAATATTGACAAAAGTTACCACTTTTCATAAAAAAATATTTACCATCTTCTTTTTTTGAGACAGAGTCTCTCTCTCTCTGTTGCCCAGGCTGGAATGCAGTGGCCTCATCATAGCTCAGTGTAACCTCAAACTCCTGGGCTCAAGCAATCCTCCCACCTCAGCCTCCTGAGTAGCTGGGACTACAGGTGCACACCACCACGCCTGGCTAATTTTTGTATTTTTTGTAGAAATGGAATTTCACCCTTGCTCAT